TCAATTCTGCCAGGTCACATTTAATTATCTCTTTAAGTGTGTATAATTTTCAAACTATCACTACGAGAGTTACAAAAATGTGTAACAAAATACGTAAAAAAATGCTAATGATAACAAACTAAAGGGACAAAATAAATTCAGTGGATTTTTCGAAAGCTTGTATAAGGATTAAACTTTTTAAATCATATCGTATGGGAATTCGACTAAAATATAAGTACTTAAAAAATACAGAATAATACATTCTATGATAAATCTGTGAATTTTACGTACAAATTTTAAACAAAGAACGATATTAGGCTCTTATATTATTTAATAAACTCAATACGAACTTTCAATACCATGCTTATAAATAATTCATCTTTTCAATGCATTTTTTAGTTTGAAAAAATACGTAATACGATACAATTGTTTGTGACAAATTCAGGACGCATTCCGTAATAATGTAACTGGCTGTATACCGTATTTAAAATAACTTTCCTTTGCATTTGACTACAAAATGTTAGAAATGTCAATGCTGACAAATTGTATTCGTCGGATATTAGCAGTTCCTGCTCGCGCGTAGAACAAATTGCTCGTTCTCTCGTTACAAAAGAGAGAAATAAATTCCTTATTGTGGCCACGGATACGCGTCAGAGTAGAGATGCGATAGGCTAGTTGGAGAAGTGCTCGCTAAAATAGATCCGCTTGTTTTCGCTGCGCTTGCTACACACACTATGCTTCTCTTTCCCTCCCCTTCTATACATTCGTCCTATTCTCGATGCAGAGAGTACAGGAGCTACCAAATTACAAAACGCGAATTACTTGAAGCGAAAATACATATGTCAACGTCTATTTCTACTAAATTAATTTTAAATTCATTTAATTTAATCTTTACCTTTTTCTAATGTTAAAATTAGAAAAATAGAAAAAAATAAGTTAAACTGAAATTGAATCTATATATTTGTTTTTTTTTATTATTGCATTAGACTGCGTTTGCGTGCCCCTTCTCGTTTTCGCCAAATTTCAAACATCTATCTATTTCAATAATTATAAAGATTATACATTAATTCAGTGTAATAAAAAAACCTATTAGTAGAAATTAGGCCTGTTCTTTAGCTGAATTTCTTGCACGGTTCTATCCTCTTTTTCTTTTCATATTGGAGAGATACGGAAAAAAATGAACTGTGCAGGAAGTTCAGCAAGAAAGAATTTAACCCATGGACATAAAATGAATAAAGAGAATTGATTTGTTTAATTGTATTCGTTCCTTTTTTTCTTCTTTCTATCGAAGAATTTAGATCTGAAAAGGCTTTTTTTATCTTGTATTTTCCATCTTTGTGTTTTTCCATGGAATTTTCCATAGAAAGCGCACATGCGTTTACATTAAGCAGCTTATTTTTGCATCAAATCTAGTAGTAAGATTAGCTGAAAATAACAGGAAAAGCGCGGATTAAACAATTCAGTATTGAACAATATCAAATCAGAGATCCTATAACAAAATCTGGCTTTGAGATAACAACTTGACTAGCTCATCGTTTTTGTCAACTTCAATATATTGGGGGGAATGAGTAAGATACTTTCTAAATTTTTTGGAATGGAATCTCACTCTAAAAATTAAAAATTGAGTTTTGAAAAAAATCTCTAACGGTGAGATTCACTCTTCAGAATAAGATTCATTTTAATACTTGCTTCTACCAATGTAGATTAACTTTAATTTTGATTCAACTTACTCTTCATCTTTTTCCTATTATTAAAACTAGAAAAAGATGAAGAATAAGTTAAACTAATTGTAAGATTAAAATTGATCTACATTGGTGGAAAAAAATGAGCATATAAATTTTGAAGAATATAAGTTAAGATAAGACAGCATACATAAAAAGACGCAGTACATGTACTCTTCTTCCTCACTCTTGTTTTGATAAAATTGTTCATGGCCAGACTCCCACATTATAGAATCTCAGGACCGGCTTCGAGAAGGATTGTTTCCTTCGTCGGTGCGACACGCATACGAGTCGTTATCGTCACGTCGCCCGATGCAAAGGCAAACGGTAAGGAAGAGAGAAAGAGAGGGAAACGCTCATTTCCGCAGAAGAGCGAGGGGTCCACGGCTGGCACGTCTCGCTCGTGTTTGCACGCACGCACGCCCCGTCGTGCCGTGTCCAAAATGGCTGGTCGCTAAAATTAGAGAGCGAGCACGATGGGCGCAGAGAGGTTATGGTATATCAGAAGAAAAAAAAAAAATAATTGGCAATTCGATCGACGCGATTGACGCAAATCGATATCGATTGGACGGTCGTCGTCGAGTCGGCGAATCTCTCGGACCGTTAAAATTCGAGGGAGTCCGAGAGGCGAGGGGAAACCGGAGGAAACCAGGGAAAACTTACCTCGTTGTCGAAGTAAAGTCATATAAGATGGTATCGCCCTGCTGGACGGCCGCTTTCTAGCGTGAAAATTCTCCGCTCGGGGGAGCCGAGATTCGAGACAGATGGATCGCCCTTCCTACCCGGGAGCAACCCGATACGTGTCACGACACGTGAAGGTTCCTCGCTGCCGTTATCGACGAGGTTGAATTTGTGAGATGGCTCGCTTGCGCGAGAAAAGGAGAGTGAGGAAATAAGGACAGAGCCGGCCTTCTGGTGACTCCCTACGTCGTCGCTCTTGGTTGCCCTTCGGCGCCGTCGACGAGTAGTTTTCTCTGATGACCGTAATCGCGGAATCACGTGGAGAACGGCGACTCTCGATCGATGGGAGTTGAAAAAGACGTGTGTGCTGGCACTGATCGAAAACGTTACGAGTCACATTTGCTGCGCGATGACTAGTATGGCTACTACTTGAAGCTCGAAGTTTGCCTTCAATCCAAAACGACCTGAACGCAGCCGCGAGTGTTGCGCGAGCGCCGTGAAGGCTGCTTGTTGAGTGATAATTCCGCAATGTATGATTCGTCGGTAATGTCGGTATACGATTGTCATCATCATGTTATTGACAATCGGTTATGGATTTTTTACTTGTTTATTACTTGATAAAATTATCGTGACTATCAAGCAGGCTACGGGGGGAAGATGTAATTGAAAAAATATATCGATAAAAATTTCGTATCAGTATTATTGATGTGAATTTAATTTCCAATCGTCCACATAAACAGACATAAATATCTGAATAAATGAACGTTTACTGCAGTATTAAATTCATGATTAGTATGTAGAATGCTATATTTACGATATAATAATTTAATAATATTATATATATTATGCCGTAAAACTTATATATATATCTAATGAAATATCAGGGTAAATAATAAATTATAAAATTAATATTATATCATCAACTATCATCTAAATTATTTAACAGATATGCAAATTTTTATAAAATCATTGTTGGTCTCTAATCTTTGTAATAATTCAGTATGTAACTCTTCGATATTGACTTTGTGTGTGTTATAAATTATGGAATCAAATACTGCAGTCTATATTTTCATGCTGCGAATACATTTTATATTGTAGGCTTGTATTGATGCGACTGTATAGACTCTTTACGTTATGTACAGATAGCACGTACTATATTTTGATATAAAATAAAATTTCTCGATAACGTTATTTATATCGGCTTTCGTTTGTTACTGTCATGGTTCGCTGATAAGTTTATCATAAGAATTAATGTATTAATAAGAGCTTTCAAGTTATGAGTGCAAATCCCCGGTAAAAAATTTTTCATGCATACTTATCAGCGAACCATGACAGTAACAAACGAAAGCCGATAAATAACGTTATCGAGAAATTTTATTTATTAAATATGTCCATACATGTTCATATATCCTATTTTTTATAAAATTACTTTTTATTGTAGAAATAATAATAATAATGTGAAAACATAAAAAATAATTAAAGGAATAATTTTTGCGTTTGTTTTAGAAAAAAAAAAAACAGGTTTGGAAAAATGTAAAAAATTTGCTCATACATAATTATGCATAATTTTATATATGTATAATTATACATAAATAATTTTTTTACATTTCTTCAAATTTGATTTTTTCTAAAACAAATAGTGCGAAAATTACCTTTTTAATTATTTTTAATGTTTTCACATTACTATTATTATTTCTATTAAAAAGTAATTTTACAAAAGAAAAAAAAATGTACGAACATATATTTCATATATAATTATACATGTTTATCAATATTTATGCGTATTTAGGTATGTTTATACATATTTATACATATACATGCATAAAAAATTTTTTATCGGATTAACAGCAGTGTCGTTCTGTTTATAAAAAACTGAATAGAAAAAAAAAAAAATCCTTTATCATTTTATAACGGTCGCAACACAGTTAACAAGATATTATATATAATTTCTAAAAATTACCGAATAAACGGGTAAAATCGGTGTATAAGACAACATTGATTAAGATAATATCTTTCAAAGTTCTTTATGAAATATCTCAAAAATATTTCTTAAAAAACTCTTAAAGATATTCTAAAGCCGGAATCAGACTATGCATTGAAGATTGAGATTGAAGATTAAAGATTGAAATTTCATCAGTGAGGACAAAGAAATTTTGGCTCCTTTTGTTCTGATTGGTCAAACTTCAATCTTTCAATCTTTAATCTCATTCTTCAGTTTGATTCCGGCCTAAAGTTGTCTTATGCGTCGATTTCAAACCTTTTCTACTTATTGGTAACTAAAAAAATATAATTGCGGAAATTGTAAAATATATAGTAGATGACTTTTCAATTCAGTTATTCATACTTTCATAGACAAGTGCGTACATGCCGGCTCTTACGGCTGGTCTGGATCACCCTGTATATATTCAGTCATATTTATTTTATTAATCATTTTATATTATGCTTTTCCTGTGTTAACAATTCCACCACGGACACCGCGATTTTATCGCCAGTACTTGGCTACGTAGTTTCCGAATCGAAAATGGATATTGGCGCTAGTGTACAAGCGATTTTGATGGTTCTTCTCACAAGAAATGCTGGGCCCTGGGCCTGGATGGATCGCCTGGCCCGCCCGGCTCGGGATCCAAAGTATTCTAAAATTCGAGTGAGTGAGTGAGACTAGTGAGAGTTCCGTTTCAAGATTCCAGTATAGTTATCGGTTCAGTGAGTAAATTGTTGATTTTTGTAAATGAAAGCTAAAATTAGTCCCTAATTTACTGAAACTAATGGTAAATAAAGGTATCGCTCGTTCTTAAATAATTAATTTCATGTCGTTTTTATAGTTACTGATAATCATATGCGGTTACATCGAGTTTAACCTCAAATTGAAGAGCGATTCTGTGTCTGCTAAAATTCGTAAAGAAACGAATTCACAAATCTCAGTCGGGAAGAAATGAAGAGTGCGATGACAGTATTCAGAAGCGTGCGGACCAGCGAGTTCGCAGTGGCGTTTCGCACGTGCTATAGGAAATACTGCACCACAGAGAATGATACGACGACAATGACGACACAGAAGGTGATCCATCCGTATAACCAAATTCATCCGTGGAAATCGGAGAATGAATTTGTGAAGGATTTGCTGAAGAACATTATTTACAATTCAGGTGGAGAAATTATTGTACATCTAGGATTAATGTATCAGTATTTTCCAGCAAGATTAATATAGCTATTTTCATTATTATATTATTATAATAGACTGATGAATTTTATAGGTATGTTTTTCATTCCTGTACTAACTGCACTAGAACTTTTACTTTCGCCAAATATTAAATGTATACTTATCTCACTTTAAGTTCCAAAAGTTTGTACTAGTTCAGTTATAAAAAACATCCTATTATTACTCCATTTTATGAAAGTTAATAATCCTTGCTTTTTGATGCAATTTCAGCATTATCGTGACCATTAAACAATGTTTATTTGCAATAATCATTAATATTATAATTAAAAATGTTATTTCAGAGTTATATTTTACTTGCATACATTATTTTAACATGAAAATTTTCTTTGATTATTTTGTAAAAGTTAGTAATCTTTTTAATATAATTTTACAGTATTATTGTGATTATTAAACAATGTTTATTTTTAATGGCCATTAACCTTCTGGAGCTGACGTCAAAATCTACAATATTAGTTACTAACGCTGGATCACTATGAGATATTTAATTTATGTTGAAAGGTACTAATTAATTTCGAGGAACCAAAATGTATGACTTGTATAAAAAAGAATGAATAAGTATATTTTAATACAAATAATCCAAATTTGCAGGTGTAACATGAAGAAAGTATTTGTCATTTTTCTGTAAAATTGTAATTGACATGTTAATAGATACAAGAATTAAGAATTAATGAAATTAAAATATATTTTTTATCTTGGCATTACTTCACAGAGAAAGTTAAATTATTTTTATTGATTAAAATCTTTGTTGTCCAAACAATAACTACCTAGGATGTTGACATATTCAAGACACAAAAATTTGAAACTTGAACTTTTTGAGCAGTACTGTATTTTCCTGTCTTTGCATATGCATCTTTAGATAATTCAAAATCAGGCATCTTAAATAAAACGTTAATTCTTTTCAAATCTTGGAGGCTGATCAAGTCAAACATTTCTTGAAAACAATTATTTTTATAATTAGTTTATTCAAGATATTATTTTGATTTACACAATAATTCTTTTTTGAATGAAAAATATCAACGGACTGAAGATCATACTGAAATTCTTCAAATCATAAAAAATTAATAGTCACTTCACAGTATCTGATAATGTGTTAAACTTGAAGGAAATATAGTGAAAATATAGAAAGAAAGATACTAAGGAGAGAGATATTTTGCAGATCTTGGGACATGTTTGGATTCCCACCTGGGAATACACCATCAGAACTCTGTCTTTGAGTAACAATCTAGCAGTAACAAAGAGATTTATAATTAAATCAATCCAATACACACTGTTAGTTCCGGAGGAGTTATATTAATATTGAAATTCAAGAAACGTTAAACCATAGTCAATCTATTTGCTTAGATTATTTTAAGTATGATGGTTTTCAGAGTTAGTTTTTCTGTATTGCATACAGAGGAGTTTCATTATTTATAATAAGAAATTTTGAGTTATATTAAAAGGGATATTAAAAAGAATATTAAAAGAGATATTATATCGTTGTAAAGTTATATATAAAGTTATATTGAGATTAAAAATAAAATATATCTATATATATTTTTATTACGGTCGAAGCTGGATCTTTTTTGCTTTAAATAATTCGATCTTAAAATACTAATATAGACTAGAGTAGTTTTAATTGCGTTTATAATCCGGAAAAACAATTCGGCGCGCAGTTCTAAAAAGACTACAATATGATATATATGCAAGTACATATATAGTGTATATTAGTAATTCAAGATTGAATTATTTAAAGCAATAAAGATCCAGCTTTGATCGTAATAGGCATTTTTCTAGTATTGATTATGTTTCTCACATATGCGATCTAAAATAAAGATTCTTAATATTGTCTATATATTTTTGTTTTACTTAGCTAATAAAAGTGATACATTTGAATATTAATTTACGAATACTTTTTTGCAGATGGAATAATTGCAATAAACAAACCATATGGCATACCCTTATATTCAAAGTCAGATGTAAACTCACGTCTGCATTTATATCATAAAATTGCAGGAGCAGCAAATTATTCTATAAACGATGTTTTGCCATATCTTGCAAAGGAGTTAGATGTACCGATGTTGATACCATCTTTTGGAGCAGAGAAGTATATCATCCTCAATCTCTCCCTTCTTTCTTTTTCTGTAAAAAAATCATTTTATTTATTTACTTCAAATTTTACTTTATTTGTAGATATACGAGCGGCGTATATATTTTCGGAATTAACGAAAAAGTGTGCTACCAATTAGATCTGTCAAGAAGACGGAATCAAGGTAGATACAAGAAATATTGGGTAGTCACAACTAGAGTTCCAAACGAGATCAAAGGAAAACATCATTTAGCAATGATTTTAAAAAAGTCTGCATTAGGAGATAAAAAGGTATACCTCCAAATACATATTTTCACGAAATAATTAATATTCACTGAGGTAATAATCACATGTGCATTTCAGCCTATTATCTTGACTCAATGGAATAAAAATGCGGTAAAGAGGAATGAAGTCAAGATCATGAATATAGAATATAAAATCATAAGCAATTCGACGAATAATTTAAGTTCACTAATAGAAATTGTGTCGTCCTCAAGAAAATGGCATGGTATCAGGTTATTTGCTTCCACTATGCTGTACAGTCCGATTCTTGGAGATAATATTCATGGATCACGAATCCAAGAAATCATGGGTACATGGTTAAAAATCGATCCATTTGCTGATTCCAGTTGGGATTTACCAAAACTAAATCGACAACTACTAGAGCTACTAAATATAAAACCAAGTCAACAAGAAATTATTCCAGTACACTTACATTTGAAAAGTATACACTTAATTATGGGCAATGAAAAAAAAGATCTAGTAATAGAAGCCCCTTTGATGGATCCATTCGATTGGACTTGCAAGCAGCTTAAATTTAAAATGCCTGATGAAATCAGAAATTCCAGTAATGAAGATAATGAAGAAGAGTTAGTTTACTTGAATGCACATGATGGCAATTAACTCACATATTATCTTTCGCTAAGTATTTTGATTGTAATAAAAAGGATTTTAATTAAATTGAAAACATTTATTTCTTTGCGTACATTCTCGTACATTTAATCAATCAGATGGATAACGTAATGATTAATGAGATAGCACATGTTTGCCCTTTAAGATTCTTCTTTGGAGAATTTTTCTACCATTTGGTGTCGACAGCCTCGCAAACCAGCCATGCTTTTTTATTCGTTTCCTTTCATTTGGATGAGGAAAATGATATCTCATTCTGTTTCTCACAAATGTTAAACCCCATGGGCTCCACACGGACGTTGCAATCACGGTCGACGAAAGCTGGTTTGAAGCCCGTCTGTAAATGTGTTAACAAAATATGGTGTTATTATATAATGTACTTATACCATGTTATTTAATATTTCAATGTTGTGTTTGTTTTATATTAATTTTTAGTACCCACGATGATTTTTCAATTTTTTATTACACATGATAGGATGTCCATATTCGGAACAACCTATCATATGAATTTTCATCACTTTTATAAATGTACAAAAATTATTAAATGAATCTTATGTATTTTAACATCTTTAGAAACTATAAAGTTGTGTATTTTTAAAAAAAAAGAAAGAATAAAGACTATTATTTAGCTAGATTTTCCTAATATTTCGAAGAAAAATACAGAAGAAAACTGATCCAATCATATGCACTGAGGGTTAAGTAACGCAAGTAAGCTTACGATGTTTATATAATTTGTTTCTTATCTACAAAATAATTGGCATGCAAAAAGTATCGGTTGAAATACACTTAATGAATGTGTTTAGGATTGATAATATGATACATGATATATGCTACTGATAATGATATATGATACTGATAATATGACAGGAATTACTATAAAAAATATTAATTATAGAGATTAGAAACAAAAGTTAACATTTACGGCAAGGATTGAAATATGCCCGAGATCAATTTGCCGAACATTTTTTCATATGAAACGTCCCAATACGATGTGATACGATGTAGAATCCAAGATTAAGTCAGGTTAAGTTTTATGTGCAGCCGAGTCAACAATCGCGCATGCGCGGCATGACGCATCGACGTCTGATCAGCGAAAATCGTCGAACGTTTCCGGAAACCACCGAAATTCGAAAACCGACAGGATACTGTTACGTGGCACACTCTGGTAGCGAAAATTGGAGTTTTATGATTTCACCGCTGCCACTGTTACCGCCAAATGACGGACTCATTGCAAGATTCGATCTGCATCGTAAAAAGTAAGTAAAATATATAATCTGAATCTGTAATATAGTCATCACGTTTTTACTTATAAAAACTGCAACGCGCAATATTATCATTAGTGCAATTTCGGTACCCAAACAACAACCGGGGGGCCATTTTTGTGCGAAGAAGAAAAACATCAAGACATTTATCACGGAACAAAGTCGGAATGGATTCCGATCGGAATCCATTCCAATTTTGTTCCATGATAGGTGCCAAGTCATGGTAATGTCAAAATGACATTAAAATGAACCGTAAATGATATTTTGGAGTTATTAAAGTAAATGTCATTTTGATATTACGATAACTTGTTCTGCTTAAATAGATTTCTCACCTCGAATATCGACAATACCTATCAGAATAAAAAGAAAGAAACAGATAATAGCAACAGGTAAAATATCTCAGTGGTTGTCACTTCCTTAATTGGAAATATTATTGTCGAGATACACGTATAATATTGTCAAGTAAAAAATTTTCCAATAAATCTTTTGAATATGACATCGAATTTGAATATACTTTAAACACGTTAAAATATTTATACGCTTCAATGAGAAAGATCTTTGAATGCCTGTCAAAACTGGCTGGCTTCAATCGGTCTATTAGCGAGGACCCGTGTTCACTGATTGATCTATTCTAGGGTTCACAATACCTCATGGGTTGACTGAAGGGCGCAGCAGTATTAGAAAAGTACTAGCCCTCGAGAATGGGACGGGACAACAATATATCTTCGGTTATTCGATACAACATAATATCGATCCTAAAAGGTACAACACATATTCGACAAATTTCTAAGCACACGTTTGAGCAAAGAATCATTGTCGCTATGGGTAAACGGACTTACAAATTATTAGAAAGAAACTACAAATAATATATGAGCCTCGCTTTGAAACCGAATAGATTTTGATTTCACCGCACTTATCTTTATTTAATCTTTACTTTTCCTCTCTACTAGCGGAGCTCATGATTTATAACTTCTTTGATTTTTTCTACTTTTTATTTGTTGAAGCTTTGGACGCGATTTTCTGAAAAGTTCACAAGATATCGACGATTTGTTAATATACTTCTAAATGAGTTTGTTGACTTTTATAATATTACTATTTGAATCTGTTTAAATCGCGAGAAAAATGGTAATTTTACAATACATAAAAATTGTGTTTTATAGTACATTATATTGTTAAAGTATACAATGATTTAATTACTTGATTATTTTTAAAGCAAATGAATATTAGCGACTGCGACTTTGTTTAGAATTTTAGAGTGATGTTTCTGAGTATATATGTGAAGATAATTTTTTAAATAATTTGTTTTTATCTATGTGAAAGTTTTAATCAAGATTGTAGTACTTAGCTATTAAAACTACTGAATTAATTTATTATTAAGAGTATTTCTTGCGTAAAATATTATACATTCTAGAAATCAAACGGATCTTCAGTTATTGATACTTGAATTTATTAACAAGATACAGCAGTTTGTTTGAAGTTTTTTATTAATATCTTCGATACAGCATTAATTTTAAGCGACAGACAAAAAAAAGCAAACATTCTTCCTTTAACTTTCTGTATTAATTTTTTGAAATACTTGGAGAAAAGTGCTTCACGTTTACGAAATAACATGATGTATCCACGTATACGAAAAGAACGGTTTTGCTGAAGTATCTAATAATTAACTAGACACAGGTTTGAAAATAATTTTGTTGGATTATTAAAATAATTAGGGCACTCAAGCATGATGATAAGGCTGCAAAAAGTTCAAACATTCCAGCAACCAGCTTGAACGTCTTGCATAATTAATTTGATGACCTATAAAATTATTTTCAGATGTCTAGTCAAATTTTTAGATACTTCAGCAAAACCATTCTTTTCATGTAAAAGTGCCGCAACAATCGCTTCGATCATGCATTAAAACCACTCCCTCAATTTCTCTGTGTTGCATCCTCCGATTTCTTCCCTAGAGGAATTTTTTCTTTCGTCAAATGCGCCCCATGGTGCCGACCTACCCCATGGGAGGATTGATCTCGCCTCCATCTCGACGGTAATTGAACTGCCGTGACCTCGTTGACACATCGCGTGTAACAGACAAACGAACACGCGTGCATCCATGACGTCACCATCTCATGGTGGTCGTCTAATCTTGAGTCCACATGAGATCTTTGCACCGATACGATTTTGATGTATTTTGAACGCACGGTTACTACATTACATCACTCGAGATGAGATTTGACATTTGGAACTTGAAGAACCGACATTAAGCTTTCTTATTATAATTAAAAAAAAATGAAAAAAGAAAATTTGTATTTTGACAGCTTGGAAATATATTTTCTTTATTAGCATGAGAATAGATTTGAATTATATACGAAAGGAACAGTTTTGCTGAAATACCTAAAAATATAACCCTAAAATATTTATAAATTAAATCTGATAAAAATTTAACTGAATTTAATTAATTAGGTCTGAAAATAATTTTATTGAACTATCGTTGTGTAAAATAATTATATAGGACACTCAAGTTGATTGCTACAATATTAAACTTTTTTACAGCATTATTCATCATAATCATCGTGCTTGAATTTCTTACTTAATTATTTTAATAATTCAACAAAATTATTTTCAGATCTGTATCCAGCTAAACTTTTAGATATTTCAGCAAAATCGTTCTTTCCATATATATTTTTTTAAACATTACTAAAGGACAAGTCGTTTCCAATATTATTAGTTTTACATAAACGCCTTAAGGCTATATATAGCTTATCATCCACCTATTGACAAACTTCTCTTCCTCTTTCCTATACAAGTCTCGGGTAATTGCGTTAGTACCGTCGTACAAGTATCGGTCAATTGTTGAGTAACGTACCCTGTGCTACTCGTAATCTATTTAATGAGCGAGTTAATGCGATATCATCGGGGTTTGGTTACATGGGAAAACGGTGCATATACTTTGCCGTTCGAAGGGCGCGCTTAGGCACTGTTAGACTGAACCTATCCCGTGGGTGGATAAATTTTTTATCTGCATCCGATGATGGAATCGCTGCGACCTATTTGCTATGTCACGTGGAACGTGCACGCGGCCGTTCCTCGAACGCGCGTATACGCATCACCGAATATATTATCACGTATGTCTTGTTACGACATCGATTAAACACGACGCGGTGTGGAATCCATGGTGCTTAAAATAAAATTAACAAACTTTTCTCGCAATTTTTTAAATTAATACGGTGATAACACTTTTATTTCGGATCATATGCAATTTTTTAAATCTGTGTTTGTGTACGGAGAGAATTTTGTTTTAAAATTTATCCCGAAAATATGGTACACTGAGAAAAAATATCTTAAATTTCAATAAATATTTATTTGAATAGTACCAACTAAATATTTATTAAATATAAAAATATATTTATTTGGTGTAAAAAATGTGTGTGTTAATTTGATTTAACAATCACTTCTTTTTATTAAGTAAATATTTATTTATTGTAAGTAAATGTATAGTTGACAGTATTCAAACAAATATTTCTTTAAATTTAGGCTATTTTTTTCTCAGTATAGTTGTGATACAATATAACATTAAAAAAATGTTTATCATTCACTTCTGTAAAATTAATTAAACTTATTTTATACTGCATTGTAATTTTATTAATAATTGAGATAGATTTAAAATTCTTGAAAATACAATGTTGTGTCACGACTATATCATATTTTCAAGGTAAACTCTAAGAAAAAATTCTCTCCGTGAGATTTCTGTTATTTTTACTCATTAAAATATTTACTAATAATTTTTTGATTGATAAATGATTAAAAGTAATTTAATATTTTATAAAGGTGTAGGTTTTGTACT